CAAAACACTGCATACATAATAAATCTTTTTTAAAAAGTCTCTTGGGGCTGGATGTTGCTGCATCCTTACTTGAATCTGGCCACCACCCATGTCTTAGGTCTCCCAAGTGTTTCTGTCACTCGAACAGCACTGCTTTCTCCCCCTAGGAAGCAGTCATCAACCCCCCTCCCGAGGGGGCCCTTCAAGTGTGTAACTGCTGGTTACCCTGCCAGGCACCTGACTCTGCCCTGCCTACCCCACATCTGAGGAGGACAGTGGTCCCCCTCCTTAGGAGAAGCAGACGTGGCTGCCTCGGCTCTGTCCCTGAGCTACTGCAGTGGGAGTAATCGGCTCTGAAAGCAATGACTCACACTTGGTTCATGAAAGACTGCTCCAAAACACAAAAGCTGCAGCCAGGAAGGACATCCAGAGGTCATGGGATCCAGCCCCCTGCCTCCTCCAGAGGTCATGGGATCCAGCCCCCTGCCTCCTCCACTGCGGCCGCACAAATGCCTAGACCAGAAACGCCCTGGCAGGAATGGGGGGGGTCCACCGACTTCCAGGTTCCCTGGAATTTTTTGGTGACTGGTACCACCTGCTCCCCTGGGAGTTCTTCCCTATGGTTAGTCAGAATCTCTGCTGTGGATAGTCACTTCTTGGTCACTTTCCCCGCAGACTAGAATACCAGGCTTCAAATGGCCAAGGAGACTGCATTCTTCCTGCTCCCTTGGGGAAAGTACTGGAAAAGCACATATCTCCCAAAAGACAAGAGAAAAAGGAGGCTTCCTTGCTGGATTTGCCTGTTCTAAGTGGCATTCTGATCACTCATATTCTCCAACAGAAATGTAAAGTGGCAGACCGTGGCACCGTTACCATCTTTCATCATTACTACATTTATTTACTCCATATTTGTACGTGTTCTGTGTGTGTGTGTGTGTGCATATGCGCACACGTGCATGTGTGCCATGGAATGTATGTGGAGGTCAGAGGGTCAGAGGTCAATTTGTGGATTTTCTTTTTCTCTTTCTCACCCCTGCCCCCAGACAGGGTTTATGGATGCAGTGTGTAGCACTGGCTGTCCTGAAACTAACTCTGTAGACCAGACTGGCTTTGAACTCAAAGATCTGCCTGGACTGGGATTGAAGGTATGTGCCACCTTCACTCAGCTTGAAGTCAGTTCTTAGGAGTCCATTCTCTCCTCCTGCCCTGTGGGACCTGAGAATCAAATTCAAGTTACCAGACTTGGGGGCAAGCACCTTTATTAACTGAATTACCTTACCAGTCCCCTCCCCCATCCAATCTCCTCGACTTTGTGTCAGAGTCCCATGTAGCACAGGATGGGCTCCATATGTAAGGGGGGATAGCTTAGAACTCCTGATCCTCTTGCATCTACCTCTCAACAGGTGATATCATAGGCATGTCCAACCCCCCAGTTTATGTGATATTGGTCTTCTACATTCTAAGCTGACACTGTCAATTAAGCTACTCATTCAGCTCCACCATTGCCATCTTGCAGGTGAAGAAATCAATGAACTATAAGACTTAGTTTCATGCCCAAGGTCTTCCCACTAGTTATTGACTATACAGGTAATAGAGACCTCCAATGCTGGTACTGGAAAGATGGCTCAGTGGTTCAGAGCACTGGCTGCTTTTCAAAGGACCCAGGTTTTATTCCCAGCACCCACATGGTGGCTTCCAAATATCTGTAACTTCAGTCCCAAGGGATCCAATGCCCTCTTCTGGCCTCTATGGGCATCACACACACATGGTATATAGACATATATGCAGGTAAAACATCCATACACATAGGATAAAACAGAATGATTTTTTTTTCGAGACAGGGTTTCTCTCTGGCTTTGGAGGCTGTCCTGGAACTCGCTCTGTAGACCAGGCTAGCCTTGAACTCACAGAGATCTGCCTGCCTCTGCCTCCCGAGTGCTGGGATTAAAGGTGTGCATCACCAATGCCCGGCTAAACAGAATGATTTTGAAGGGCCTGGAGAGATGGCTCAGTAGTTAAAAGGACTGGCTGTTCTTGCAGAGGACCATGTTCCATTCACAGCTTCAGGCCTCCACAGGCACCAGATTTGAGTTTAGTTTGAGGCCAGTCTGGTCTAAATATTGAGTTACAAGCAAGCCAGGACTACATAGACTCGTGTGTGTGTGTGTGTGTGTGTGTGTGTGTGTGTGTGTGAGAGAGAGAGAGAGAGAGAGAGAGAGAGAGAGAGAGAGAGAGAGAGAGAGAGAGAGAGAGAGAGAAGACCTGTTTATTCTAGAACAGGAAAGATGCACATGTTTTGTAGTACTGAGAAATGAATTCTGAGCTTTGTGTATACTAGACACGTAGTATTCTACTACCAAACTAGAACCCATCCCTAGTTTTCCGATTCTCATTAAGGAATAGTGTCTCCAGAGGAGGGTTCTAACTCTCTTCAATGCAGACAGGCCTTAAGCTTGTGGTTTTTCTTCCTCAGCGTCCTGAAAGCTGGGATGACAGCTATGCACCATCACATGTAGTCTAGCCCTGGGCTGCTGGAGAACCTGCTGACTCTGAGGGTCCTGAGTATCCCAAGTCTAGAGCGGCCTGGAGAAGGGAAATCCAATGAGCAAAGGGTTCAATTCTCAGCTATAGGAGGGTCTTCAGGGGCTGGTACTGGGTGTGCCTGTGGGGAGACAGGTTTGAGGGCTGAGCTCAGTATCCACCTTGGCTCTTTCCAGGAGAGCCAGGAGCCAGAGGAGAGCTGGAAGGGAGGGGATTAAGCCCGAACCCACCATACCTGTCCCTGTCCTATTTCTGCCACTGGCAAACGGATCTCTATTCCTGGACACAATAACCTGAGCGGTGCTCCAAGGGTGATCTCATCCTTAAGAGGCTGGCCACTCTGCCCTTCAGGCCTCACAGGAAGCTGGATGCTGTCATCACCGGGGTCCTTGAGTGCCTCCACCACCAACAGAGGAAGGAGCATGGGTAAACCCAGAATTCTCTCCATCCACACATAGCATCTCCCTTTTTTTGATCAGGTCAAGAGATGAAGTTAGACTCAGAGCCAGGAGGGTACAGGAAGGCACAGGAAAATCGGTCCCAGTTTATGGCCATATATTAGAAGAAGCTCCTTCAGATTGGTGTGGGGGAGAGCACCAAGCCGTATGCTTGACTAAACTCCAGCACTGCAGGGTTTTAGAGGGCCTATTTTAGATTGATTGGGGGACTTCCTGAATGAGGATGACGTCCATTCTGCTGGTCTAGACAGGAAGACGAGAACGGACCATAGTTGCCTGACTCTCCATCTACAAGGAAGAGCTGTCTGCCTTGGGTTTTTATTTTTATTTTTTCCTTTTGAGACAGGGTCTCACTATGTAAGACCTGACTGTTCTAAACTTATTATGTAAATGAAACTGGGCGTCAACTCACGAGACATTCTTTCCTCTGGCTCCTAATTGCTGGTACCACTATGCCTGGTTTGGCTTGGGCGTTGACCCGTTAAGATGCCTTCAGAATGGGACTAGAGAGACGGCTCTTGGGTGAAGAGCACTGACTGCCCATAGGACCCAGGTTCAATTCCCAGCACCCACAAGCAGCTCACAGCTGTCTGTAACTGCAATTCCAGGAAATCCAACACCCTCACAGATGTACATGCAAGCAAAATACAAATTCACATAAAAATACATTTTTAAATTTTTATTTATTTGGTTTCATCAAGACAGGATTTCTCTGTATAGTTCTGGCTGTCCTGGGACTCACTTTGTAGACCAGGCTGGCCTTGAACTCAGAGTCCTGCCTCTGCCTCCCAGTCAAGGGCTGGGATTAAGGGTGCCCACCACCACAACACGAGTAAGAATACATCTTTTTTCTCTTTAAAAATATTTTTTTAAAAAAAGGTGTCTTCAGGGCCAGCAGTTAGGAGCACTGGCTGTTCTTCCAGAGAACCCAGGTTCAATCCCCAGCACCCACATGGCAGCTCAAAGCCAGGGGGATCCAACACCCTCATACAGACATACATGCAAGCAAAAACACCAATGCACGTGAAATAAAAATAAATAAAATTTAAAAAATAAAAAGTGTCTTCAGTCTATAATCCTGACATTAGGGAGATTAAGGCAGGAAGATAAGGCTACATAGTGAATTCCAGGCTAGCCTGATCTACACAGAAAGACCTTGTCTCAAAAATAAAAAACAGAGACTTCTAAGATAGTTCAGAGGTAGAGTGTCTGTCATTCAAGGGCCTGACTTTAATCCCCAGCATCTGTTTAAAAAAGGCCAAACCCACAGCACTAGGAAGGTAGAGAGAGGGGGCTTCTGGGGCTCCAGGGCCAGTCTAGGCAAATTAGCTTACAATGAGAGACCCTGACTCAGACTCGTGGCTCCTGAGGAATGCCACCCAAAACTGACCTCCATCAACTACTCTTCACACATGTGCCACTCGTGTGCCCCACATGCACACACTTAGATGTACACGCATGCTAATCATACACACGTCAAGCAACAGCCTGTTATCTGCTTCAGGAAACGCCTTAAGTCTAGTACTGCTGCTGTGTGTATTTGGTGAGGTCCTTTCCTGGACAGAAAGGCGTTAATGGGTGAACGAACCGGTCCTGTCTATTCCTCTGCCAAGGTGCAGCCTCTTCTAATCCGCACTATCAGAACGCTGTAACTTTTCCCTCTCGGCTGTTCTGCTGCAGCCCCGGATTATTCGTATTTCCAGACGCTACCATGCTCGTCCCAGCCCTTCTTCAATTTTTGTTCCGCACCCCCTTCCAGGTTTTCAGTGTCAAACTACCCCTCTACTTATTTACCCTCCAAACCCCTCCCCATCTGGTCGAGCCCCCCAAGACTCCACCCAGCTGGCCCTCCTAGCCACCTCCGCAGCCAATAGCTGAAAACCTTGATTTGCATAGCTGCGCGGGGGCGCGGCGGAGGGAAGGGGGAGGGACCAGGCGACCTCCTAAATCAAAGTTGGGAGGCTAGGACTGGGCGGAGGGGCCGCCGGGTGCAAGGCTGGGGCCGGCGCGGGGAGGGGGAGGGAAATGGGGGGCGGGCGCAGAGGACGGCGGAGCCGGCCGGACTCGGACAGCTCCGTCGCTCCCTCGCTCTGCTCATCCGCGCATCCCCACTTCCCTCCTCCTCTCGCAGAGCGCAGCATCCTCTGCAGACCCTTGATCCTCACGCCCAGGGTCGTCCCGCTCCCGTGGCTCCTGGTAATTGCCTCCCTCTCCCCCGCCACCCAGACAACTTTCTCCTCTGGTGCCTGGGGCTAGGGGGCTGCTTTGCCTGGGAGGGTTGCTCCTGAGGGTCACTGGAGAGCAGCCACTGGAAAAAGCCTTGAGAGTCCCAAAGAGACGCCCGACACCCACAGTCTGCCCTCGGCGGGCCTGCCGTCGGGTCTCCGCACCCTTTCTTCTTTTATACCCCAACCATGACCGAAATGAGCGAGAAGGAAAATGAGCCGGATGACGCGGCCACCCATACCCCCCCAGGGACTGTCTCCACCCTCCAAGAAACCAAGGTAAGTCGGGGGGCGAGAGGCCTGGCCCCGCCCGGTCACGGCTGACTCGGTGCGCTGGTCACCGTGGCGGGGGTCCCCTTGGGGTCACGGACGCTAAACGGGGCCCGCGTGATTCCTAAGGCTGCGCGCCATGCCCGGGAGGGAGGGAGAGGGTTCGCGATGAGGGGACCCAAGAAGCCGATCACACGACCACGACCCTCGGTACGCGCGAGGCGCCGACGCGCTCCGGCTCCCTCCTGGGCGGTTGTAACTCGGCTTTGTTGGAGGGAATCGGCGCGGCGGAGGCGCGGGGCGTGTGTGGCCGTGTGTAGCGAGCGGGTGTGAGCCGGTGTACGCGCGCGTGTGTGCGTGCGAGGCGCACCCCTCCCGTGGCCGCCAGATCGGTGTCTGCGGCTCCCCGGTCCCCCTCTCTCCTGTCTCTCTGAATCCCTTTCCACAACCGTCTCCTCTCTCTGGTCCTCTCCGATTCCCTACGTGCTTCTGTGTGTCTCCGGCGTCCCTCTCTGACCACCGCAGCCTGCATCCACCTCGCGGACGGGTTGGGCTGGGAGCGCTGGAGGCCGCGGCCCCGGGTGCGCAGCTTTCGAGCCGGCGCTGGGGGCTGCGGCAGCACGGTCAGCACCGGCCGTCGGTGGCGGGCGGGGACCCGGAGTGTTGCGGCTCCAGAGCCGGAGGCGGCCCCACCCCCCACTCGGAGAGCCTGGAGAGGGGAGGAGAGAGGGCAGAATCAAAAGAAGTCATCGTAATTAATGAATGTCATAATTAACCCTAATTATGTATGATTGTTACTCTTGTGGGAGTCACAATGAATAAATTATTCTCCTATGAAGGCAGGCGGAGCCCAGACTGCGGGAACTGAAAGGGATGGGGGAGGCCGGTGCTCACATTTCATCTCCCTACCCCAATACCCCCCTCCCCAACTTCTAGGTGTTCATAAAGTTCTGTGGGAAGCTACCTGAGCGTCCCGGAATGGGAAGAGAAGGGACTGTAGGAGGAGCCCTCACCCCTCCCTACACTTCAGACCAGGACTCCCTCTTTTTTCCCTTGCACCCTGGTGTTTGTTACCATCCTGTGACCAGGAGAGGTGTGGTGAGAACCAGAAATGGGTGGTGTCTTGGGCCCCCCTGGGGTCACAAACTCCTACACAGCTCTTCCCACGACTCCCTTCCACCTCGGTCCCTCTGGACCACCCTTCAGAATGTGAGGTTAATTCAAGGTCAAGGTCATTACCGCAGTGAGCACGGGGGAGCTGAACAGGGAGGGTGGCGTCTGCCTGAAGCTCTCCAGGTAGCTACCCGGCTCCTGCACCTGGGGACCCTGCTGCTCTCCAAGTTCAAGTCTCTTAGCTTTTTGAGACAAGGTCCTGCTAAGCATCCTTGGCTGGCCTCTACCTCCGAGAACTAAAATTACAGCGCTGAGCCTCCATACCTGGGTCCCTCAGTCCAAATTCAGTACACACTCGGCCTTCTGCTTCCTTCTGAGAGCGAGACTCTGGCTCCTGGTCCGCACTTTAGACCCCTTAGGGTGCCAAAATCTCTCCTGGAAAGGAATGCAATGGGAGGGTGTCGCTTGGGTTATCTCTCATACAAAGGGGACAGTGGGAGCTGAGTCCCGGCTCCTCCACATTCTCACCTGCCCTGTCGTCACCCGGCAGATGTACAGTGGCCCCTGCTGTCTTCCTAGAGAATGGAGGGGCTCGCAATGCCTGCGGCTTGAGAAGCTGCCTGCTCCTACCCCTCCTTAGGGGCTCCCCGAGGCAAGCAGGAGCCTGGAGTGTCTCAGCCGTCCCACAGGCTGCTCACTCAGCTGTGTGGGGGCGGGGTGGGGGTCAGACCTGGCAGGGCTGTGTCTCCCTCCTCCATCCCAAGGACCCTCCAATGTCGTCTGCTCTGGATCTGAGCCACAGAAGTCTGGAGGAGTAGAGGAGGGGCGTGCCCACCTAGCTCAGCGTGAGGCTCAACAGCTGGCCCACTCTGTTCCAGGCCTTCTGGGCCTCCAGCCTGGCCCCCCTTGCATGTGAAGGACTCTGAAATGACCTCATAGAGACAGGAGTGGGGAGTGTCTATGAGGTCATCCCACAGCCCCCTTCCATCTGTGAACTCAGGGCTTTTGTCAGCCCCCTTCCAATCCTTTGCCAAAGCAGCTGTTCCTGTGGACTCCAAGGAAGGAAAGGTAGAAAAGAGCAGTGCTGCCCACCTAGCTCAGCGTGAGGCTCAACAAGGGCCGGGTGCCCACCTAGCTCAGCGAGAGGCTCAACAAGGGCCGGGTGCCCACCTAACTCGGTGTGAGGCAGGCTCAACAAGAGCCGGGTGCCCACCTAGCTCAGCGTGAGGCAGGCTCAACAAGGGCCGGGTGCCCACTTAGCTCAGCGTGAGGCAGGCTCAACAAGGGCCGGGTGCCCACCTAACTCGGTGTGAGGCAGGCTCAACAAGGGCCGGGTGCCCACCTAGCTCAGCGTGAGGCAGGCTCAACAAGGGCCGGGTGCCCAGAAGCCAACCCTCTGTTCTGAGTCATCAGCTTGGTGCCCCTAGGGGTTTCCTGCTCAGTCTGTGGCGGGGTCTCAGGCCTGTACACAGCCTACTGGGCAGTCTTCTAGGGAGGTCCACCGTCTCTAGGGTTCTCATTCATCCTGTATTACTTGCCACCCTCTTCGGAATCATCCCAGAAGACCCCACCATGCCTGCTTTGCCATCTGAGTCATCTGTCACCACACCCGACACCACCCACTGCCAGCTGCCTAGTACTGTTTCAGGAGATGGCATGGGAAACTGAGGAAAAAAGGAGGCTCCGGAGAGTTCCAGGGAGAGGATACTAGTCGGTCAGGCTCCTGCTCCGAGGAGTTCAGAAGAGACTTGGTGACCTGGGCCGCATGCCAGACAGTCTGCAGGTGCACTGGGGAGGAACTGGATCCAAGTGAAGCAGCTTACTAAGGTCATGCAGAAATGGGTCCCTGTCAGTGGAGACACCAAGATAGCTGGTAAGGTTTGGTAAAATGCTTATCGGGAGTCTTAGTCAGTGTGCTAAGGTTTGGTAAAATGCTTATCAGGTGTCTTAGTCAGTGTGCTAAGGTTTGGTAAAATGCTTATCGGGAGTCTTAGTCAGTGTGCTAAGGTTTGGTAAAATGCTTATCGGGAGTCTTAGTCAGTGTGCTAAGGTTTGGTAAAATGCTTATCGGGAGTCTTAGTCAGTGTGCTATTGCTGTGAAGAGACACCATGACCATGTACTCTTTTTTAAAATAATTTTATGAGCATTGGTGTGAGGGTCTTGGACCCCCTGGAACTGGAGTTATAGACAGTTGTGATCTGGCATGTGAGTTCTGGGAATTGAACCCGGGTCCTTTGGGAGAGCAACCAGTGCTCTTAACCAGCCTCCCATGGCAACTCTTTTAAAGGAAACCATTTAACTGGGCCTGGCTTGCAGTCCCGAGGCTTAGTCCATTAACATCTTCAGGGGAAGCATGGCAGCGTGCAGGCAGACATGGTGCTGCAGAGGCAGGTGAGAGCTGTACATCTGCATTGTCAGGCAGCAGGAAGAGAGAGTGACACCGGGCCTGGCTTGAGCTTGTGAAACCTCAAAGTCCACCTCATGGCACACTTCCTCCAACAAGGCCACACCTCCAACAAGGCCACACCTTTGAAAATTCCACTCCCTAATGAGTCTGGGAGGGCTTTTTTTTTTTTCTAGACAGTGTTTCTCTGTGTAGCTTTGGAGCCTGTCCTGAAATTTGCTCTTTAGACCAAGTTGGCCTCAAACTCATAGATATCCACCTGCCTCTGCCTCCTGCATGCTGGCATTAAAGGAGTGCACCACCACTGGCCGGCCTATGGGGCCATTTTAATAAAACTACCATATCAGGTAAGGGTGTTTACAGCAATCCTGATGGCTTGAGTTCAATCCCCAGAAACCACCAATATGGTAGAGAGAACCAGCTCCCACAAGTTGTCTTCTAACCTCCCCATATGTGTCATGGAATGTGCATGATCATATATGCACATCTATACACACACCAGTGAGAAAAAATGTAAAGTGGTGGGGATAGCTGCAGGGCCAGGAGTCTAAGGAGCTGGGACGCCTAGCCTGGCAGAGTCGCCAACCTAGCATCTCTGGAGCAAGCAGGCATCAGCCATTTGACAGCTATGTCCTACCTTGCACTCTGGCCAAAGTCCTTGTCATCTGCCTAGGTGGCAATCCCATTTTCCCCTCTTTTCTGCCCTCCCGGGATCTGGGACTCACAGCTGAGTTAGGAAATCATCAGGCAGAGTGGAGGCTACCATGATCCCCGGGGACATTGTGTTCCAGATGCCTCTGGTACCCTTGCAGAGGTGACTGTTGGCACCGAGTCCCAGGGAGGGGGTATACCAATAAAGGGTGCAGACTTGACTTTGGGGGAGGGACTTAGATTTACAGGGGTCACTCAGGAATTAATGGCCTCTGGATGGGGGACATGTCTGATACTTTCACATATTGGAATGTCTGATGTGGCTAGGAGGGAATAGCCTGGCCCGAGCCAAGAGAGAAATGGGGACTGATAGGCAAACGTTACAGGGAGGTGGTTTCCAGCACTATATAGGGAAGCACTTCCTAGCTATTGCAGTTGCCCAAAGATGGGATAACTATCCCATGAGGGAGTGTGCTTCCCATCCCAAGAGGAGCCCAAGAGCCACTCATTCAGAGACAATGCGACCAGAGCTATGGTGAGGTGGGGTAGAGACTAATTTAGGTCCCTTCTAACCCTGAATTCCTTGATGGACATAATGGACAAGCCCATGGGACAGCTGAGGGAAGGGAGGGGACCATGGCAGTGAGATATTCCTGGTTGTCTGAGCCGAGCAGCCTGAGCCACCCTGAGTCTGGTACTTGCCAGCTAAGGTCTCAGAGGGGGAGTGATTTCACTCCTCAGCTGAATCATGGGACAATGACTGTCCCCCCAGAGGGTATCACTGGAGCCTGGGGCAGACTGTGTATCAGGTGCTAGCCCAGACCCAGAGTTCTAGCGCTGAAAACCCTTTATGGAGCTAAATTTCTGCCTGAGTGAGTGATCTGTTTGGACCCAGAGCTTTGTACTGCCCAGTGTTGCCTCCTCCTCCTTGGATGTAGGGAAACCGAGGCTCTGAGAAAGGAAGGGAAGTGATTTCCCCTCAGATAACGGGTTAATTTTGCCCTGTCCCAAGCATATCTCTGCAATTTTGCCTCCTGTGTGTTCTGTGCCTTGAGGTCCCTGAGCAGGACATTGATGTCAGGGAGTGAGGTCAGGGAGGGTGGCAGTGGTGTTCACTTTCCTTTTGGACCCTATCAAAGCCCTGTTTGGCACTGGCAGCCACAGCCTGACCTGAGCTGATCTGTGTCGTCTGGTTCTTCATGGTTCTGGCTTGCTTGACACCTCTGCTTTTGGGCACAGGCATCTGGGGCCCCAGGCCTCACTTCTCATAGATGTACAAAGAAGCCCACAGTGCTGTCCAGGAAGCTGAGTTTGGAAGCAAATGAACAACTCAATGTGCCAGACACCCCAGGGCTCCGGCCTCCCAGCTGGCACTCCAGAGTTTGCTTTGTGCCCAAATATCCCCTCTACTTCTCCCAACATTTTGTGGCCTGCTGGCCTTTGGGAGGCTGGAAAGGCCACTATGTCCTTCCCTTTGGCATACACGGGTGCTAGGCAGACAGCCACAGCACACAGGCTGCCTAGCATGCCAGTTGGGAACCCTGGCCAAGACTCCCTGCCTGGAGCCTGATCAAGCCCCCTTCTTCCCCCCCTTTTCTATTGCTGGTGGAAAGGAATGGGCAGGAACAAGGTAACTCTCCACAGGAAGAGAGGGGCAAGTCTCTGGATAAAGGAGTCACCATTCCTTGCTCTAAGCAGACTCGGTGAGGGTGTGTTTGAGTGAGGGGTGCGAAGAACTCCAGCCTCAGAGCAGAACTGGCCCTGGCTCCACAAAGTTGGTGATGTATTTGGCAGAAGCACAGTGACTGAGTACCTACTGTGTGTTGGGCCCTTGGCCTCTGATTCAGTCTCAGATGGGGTTAGAAGTTGGCAAGAGGAGCAGAGTGGTGGTGGCGGCAGTGTTGGTGGCGCACGCCTTTAATCCCAGCACTCAGGAGGCAGGAGCAGGTGGATCACTATGAGTTCTAGGCCAGCCTGGTCTACAGAGTGAGTTCCAGGATAGCAGAGGCTACCCAGAGAAACCCTATCTTTTTTTGGTGGGGGGGGAGTTCAAGACAGGGTTTCTCTATATTGCTTTGGAGACTGTTCTGGAACTCGCTCTGGAGACCAGGCTGGCCTCGAACTCACAGAGATCCGCCTGCCTCTGCCTCCCGAGTGCTGGGATTAAAGGCGTGCGCCACCAACACCCGGCGAGAAACCCTATCTTGAAAACAAAACAAAACAAAAAAGTTGACAAAAGGAACCTGAGCTGATGTGGTTCTGTCCTAGGGCAGGCCCAGGGTGAACCTATAACAAGTCTTTGTTCCCAAATAATGACATGGAGACTTATTAATTATGAAAGCTCAACCTATAATTTAGGCTTCTTCGAACTAGTTTTATAACTAAATTAATCCATTTATATTACTGTGCATTTTGCCACACGGCTTGTGGCTGTTACCTCTCCTCCTGTACATCCTTCTTGCTCAGCATCTCCTGGTGTGTCACTTGTCTTCTTCCCAGAGTCCTTTAAGTCCTGGCAAATCTGGTCTCTATACCCCCTACATGGGTATTGACCATTCAGCTTTGTATTACACCAATCACAGCAACACATCTTTATACAGTGTACAAATATTCCATAAGTACCAGAGGAGGAAATGGGTCTACTGATGAACTTGTGGGATATTTGTGTGCTGTGAAAAAAAATGCATTTCTGCGGGGCATTGGTGGCTCACACGTTTAATTCCAGCACTCAGGAGGCAGAGGCAGGCGGATCTCTGTGAGTTCGAGACCAGCCTGGTCTACTAGAGCTAGTTCCAGGACAGCCTCCAAAACCACAGAGAAACCCTGTCTAAAAAAAAACAAAGAACAAAAAGATGCATTTCTGTGATTGGTGTAATAAAAAGCTGAGTGTCCAATAGCTAGGCAGGAGGTACAAACAGGATTTCTGGGGAGAGAAAGGAGGAGGAGAAGGAATCAAGGCATGCAGGAGACACCAACGAGACATGAAGGGAGCTGGACATACGGATGAAAGAAAGGTTAAAAGTCTTACGGTAGGGGACTGGAGAGATGGCTCAGAGGTTAAGAGCACTGGCTGCTCTTCCAGAGGTCCTGAGTTAAATTCCCAGCATCCACATAGTGACTCACAACCATCTGTAATGAGATCTGGTGCCCTCTTCTGGCCTGCAGGGATACATGCAGACAGAATACTGCATACACAATAAATACAAGTCTTTTTTTAAAAAGCCTCATGGTAAAACAAATTAATAAAAGCTATAAGAGCTAGTGAGACAAGCCTAAGATAAGGCCATGATTTCATAATTAATAAGTCTCCCTGTCATTATTTGTGAGCTGGCAGTCCAAAGAAAAATTTCACTACATATGGTATCAAATGTGGAGACTCAATTATCTAAACATAGGACCTGAGAGCCAGGCGTTGGTGGCACACGCCTTTAATCCCAGCACTCGGGAGGCAGAGGCAGGCAGATCTCTGTGAGTTCGAGGCCAACCTGGTCTACAGAAGGAGTTCCAGGACAGCCTCCAAAACAATACAGAGAAACCCTGTCTCGAAAACAAGAACAAACAAAAGACAACAACAAAAAACAAAACTGCTAGCTGAGATGGTCCAGACTCAGATTACTCCAGCCAGGACTCCAGATAAGACCTGAAGTTTTCCGTCACACAGAGACTTGGCAACAAATGATAACAGCTAGCTCTCCCAGGACTTGCCCATTATCTCAATTTTCTCAGGATACCCTAAAGATGCTGTTGCCCCCTGACAACAGTAAGCAGTCTAGAGAATATGACGTCTATATTCTCAAGAGGTGGGGTGGGTAGCTTTTTGGTCATTCAGTGGGTTATGGTTGTTTATCATTGTTTGGGGAGTTAGTTGCAAGATATTAGTAATGGTCAGAAAAAAGCGCTGAACAAAGGAGATTAAATTCAGGGATCTCTTTTTGAAAGAAAAAAGGGGATATAGAAATGACAGGATAAAAGGGTAAATTATGAAACCTACTTTTAACCTAGAAAAAGCAACTATTAGTCTTAAATATTTTACACTGGTATAAATTTAGATATTGATAGAAATTTAAGGTTATTTTTGTTATACTCTATATGTTTCTACTCTTGTTTAAGATATTATACCTATGCAGCTCATTTAAAAATGTGATGTGCTGGGCATTGGTTGTGCATGCCTTTAATCCCAGCACTTGTGAGGCAGAGGCAGGTGGATCTTTGTGAGTTCCAGAGCAGCCTGGTCTACAAGAGCTAGTTTCAGGACAGCCTCCAAAGCCACAGAGAAACCCTGTCTCGAAAAAACAAATAAAGAAATAAATAAAAATATGATGTATAATTAAGAAATACAGGTTAGTAGTTGTCTATGACAATCAAACTTGTAGTCACATTAGGTATATTTTCACAGTTAAACCAATATTTTGTAGATAAACACATCAAACACTTCAGAGACCTACGGAATATGGCATTTAACATGCTTTTTTTAATAACCTAAAGCTTTTCATGACAGTGAGGCACTTCTGTTTCTGACAGTACCAATCTACTTCAAAAAAGGATGATGGGCATCAAAGAACCTCCATATGGGGTTTGCTTTTATTATAACAAAGTTGGCCCCTGGGCAGGAAACTGCCATTGCCTTGACTGTTGACAGTATGGTGTCCAGATTGGACAAACAGAACACAAAAGAAGGGGACTGCAAAACTTTGCCAAGATAAGGTAGGACAGCCCTTCAAAATTCCTGCTTTACAAAAAAGTCTGCCAGATATTTTAGGTCTGATGGGGGATTTCCATCTGTATATATGTTTCTCTTATTGGTTGACTAATAAAACACCATTTGGCCAATGAGGCAGGAAGATTAGCAGGACTAGGAGATGAGGAGAATTCTGGGAAAGATAGGCAGAGGGAGACGGCCAAACAGTCACCATGTAGACCACAAAGGAGGAACAGGCCAGGATATTCTCCGATAAGCCAAGACCGTGTAGAAATACATAGATTAGGGCTGGAGAGATGGCTCAGTGGTTAAGAACACCGACTGCTCGTCTAGAAGACCTGGGTTCAATTCCCAGCACCCACATGGCAGCTCACAACTGTCTTAATTCCAGTTCCATGGGACCTGACACCCTTGGCAAAACATCGATACATGTAAAATAAATATAAATAAGTTGAAAAAATACATAGATTAGTAGTTATGGGTTAATAATTAAGAGAGAGCTAGCCAATGAGAAACCCTAGCCATTAGCCAACAATTTAATAATATAGCATCTGTGTGTTTATTTGGGGCTTAAGTGGCAGCAGGACCTGGTGGGACAAGAAGCATTGAGTAACATAGGCCTATAGGCCAAAAATTGATTCCCCAATGTTGTGGAGGAGCCTTGAGTCCAGGTATTTCTATAGTTTTGGAAGTTGTTTTTCTACAATTCCTGTTTGCTCAGGTAATATTTATATCCTTCTTAGGTCTGATGGTGTTAAAGACTAGATAGTCATAGTTTTATAATTTTCCTTGTTACCAAATTCAAGAAAGAAACTTACATAAGAGATATAAATTTTATAAGGTTGAGAAACAAAAAATTTAGTTTATCTAAGAAAATGATTTAAGGTCTAAAAAGATATTTTTAGGATGGTAATACATTTATGACAAAAAAATGGTTTAGGTATAAAAATTTGGACTCACTGGGCAGTGGTGGTGCACGCTTTTAGTCCCAGCATTCAGGAGGCAGAGGCAGGCAGATCTCTATGAATTCAAGGCCAGGCCTGTCTACAGAGCAAGTACCAGGATGGGCTCCAAAGCTACACAGGGAAACACTGTCTAAAAAAAAAAAAACCTTTGGCTTCAACAAGGTAAGATAGATAATAGTTTCTCCAATTTGACAAATACAAATGGACTAGACACTGTGAGTGTACTTCTTATCTGATAATTGTTTTGTTTTGTTTTTTTGGTTTTTTTGAGACAGGGTTTCTCTGTGGCTTTGGAGGCTGTCCTGGCACTCGCTCTTGTAGACCAGGCTGGTCTCGAACTCACAGAGATCCACCTGCCTCTGTCTCCCGAGTGCCTGGCTAGATTTTATTTTCTAGTTATGTGCATGAACGTGGGGTATGTACCTGGGAGTTCAGGTGCCTCAAAGAGCCCAGAAGGAGGTGTGGATCCCCCAAAGCTGGAGTTACAGGGGTTGTGAGCCACCCTCCTTCATGGGTGCTGGGAACTGAACCTGGGTCCTCTGTAAGAGCAGCAAATGCTCTTAACCACTGAGTCATCTCTTCCACCCACAGAAAAAGTTTCTTAGCAAGCTCAGGGGTCGTGGCCTGGGATCTGGGCCAGGAGGTTACAGCCCTGAACCAGGCTTCGGGTATCAGACATCGATGGTGATAAGGCTGCAAGGGGTGGAGATACGGTCTGGGGAGGGAATTAGCCTTGAGAATACAGAGCGACTTTCCTGCCTGCACCCCAACTGTTGGAGAATACAGCAACATCTTTTCTCAAACAAATGATGAAACTAGGTTTTTACAGGGTGTAATGAAGCCTTTAATTGTAGCACTCAGGAGGTAAAGGCAAGTGAATATGAGTTCAAGGCCAGCCAGGGCTACATAGTGAGACCCTGTTTCAATATAAAACAAAATAAAAGGAGACTTGTTTTTCTTCTGGAGATGATGTCTCATGTATCTCAGACTGGCTTCAAACTCATGCATCCAAGGAAGATGACCTTGAATTTCTGATTTTCCTGTATCTACCTTCTTATCCTGTTGTTGGCAAACCAAAAGGTTCTGGTGTGTTTTGCTTTTGTTTTTGTTTTTCAAGACAGGGTTTCTCTGTGCAGCTATGGAGCCTGTCCTGGAACCAGATCTTGTAGACCAGGCTGGCCTCAAACTCACAGAGATCCACCTGCCTCTGTCTCCCAAGTGCTGGGATCAAAGGCATGCACCACCACCACAACCCAGCTCCTGGTATGTTTTGTATGTGTGGTTGGCTTTCATGTATATCTGTGCAGCATGTGCGTGTCTCTTGGGACTAGAGTAACAGACATGAGTACAGACAGCTGGGGGTTGCCGTGTGAGTGTTGAGAATCGAACCCAGGTCCTCCTCAAGAACAGTAAGTGTTCTTAACTACTGAGCCAATTCTCTGGGGCCCCACCCCCTCCAGTGTTTTTTGTTTGGCCCCAGAGATTGATTGCGTTTATTTATTTGCTGTGTAACCCAGGCTGGCCTCAAACTTCTGACCTTCCTGTCTCCATTTCCTGACTGCTGGCATAACTGAAGTATGTCACCACATCCAGCCAAAAGTCTAGATTTTTTTGGAAAGAGTGTGGGGATCTGGCTTCTTTGGGTCAGCCTTAACTGGCTGGAGGAGACCAGCAGCTGCTCGTGGCCACCTGGCCTCATTACTCTCCACTACTTCTAAGCCTGTGCCCGCACAGCTAGACGGCCGGTAAACTTCCCTGCCAGTTCCCTGTGGGCTCTGGGAGGCTGGATGGTCTGAGCAGGAGACACAGGAAGCCTTCCTTGGCCAGCCCTCCAGCCTTGCACCCACAGCTCGCTCCTTCTTCTCCCAGCTCCAGCGATTTAAGCGCTCCCTCTCCCTCAAAACCATCCTCCGAAGTAAGAGCGTGGAGAACTTCTTCCTCCGCTCAGGCTCTGAGCTGAAGTGCCCCACAGAGGTGCTGCTGACGCCACCAACGCCACTGCCGCCTCCTTCACCACCACCTGCCTCCACAGACGGGGGTCTACCCACCCCGGCGCCCTCCCCATGCCCAGTCCCACGCCCCTTGGCACCACTCAAACCAGTGAGGCTGCACAGCTTCCAGGAACACGTCTTCAAGAGAGCCAGCCCTTGCGAGCTGTGCCACCAGCTCATTGTAGGTAGGTACCTGGGTTCCGTGGCAGGCCGGGGCAAGGGCTGGTGGGCGCTTGGGAGTAAGCCATGGAACTGTCTCATGTTGGAGTAATGCAATGCAGATCACGCCTCTTTCCCTGGGGAGACAAGTGAGTGTGGGGCGGGGCTGGACTTTAGCTAATTGCTACAGTACTGACCTACCATGTATTGGGCCTTGGATTCCGTGTCGCCTACGCTAGGAACGAGCAATGGAGTCATGGGTACCCACTGTTGCTCCAAGCTCACTTACAAGCTGCTTTGCCACCACTTCAGGTCTCCACTGTAGGTGGGAGGGTGCCAGGCCCTGAAGCTCAGCTCAGGACTCAAGCATTGACCTTTTCCCCATGCCCTCAACTGGTTGGTTATTTTGTTTCTTGTTTGGTTTTTGGCTTTTTAAGACAGGGTCTCAGCAGGGTGGGCGATGGTGGCGCACGCCTTTAATCACAGCACGTGGGAGGCAGAGTCAGGCGGATCTCTGTGAGTTTGAGGCCGGGCTGGACCGACTTGGTGGCGCACGCCTTTAATCACAGCACGTGGGAGGCAGAGTCAGGCGGATCTCTGTGAGTTTGAGGCCGGGCTGGACCGACAGCCTCAAAAACAATACAGAGAAACCTTGTCTCGTAAAAACCAAAAAAAAAAAAAAAAAAAAAAAAGACAGGGTCTCTCTGTGTAGCCCTGGTTATCTTGGAACTCACTCTGTAGACCAGGCTAGCCCTGCACTCAGAGATTTGCCGCCCTCTTCTGTTTCCAGAGTGCTGGGACTGAGGGCGTGCATGCGCTACCAGGCTCTCTGTTGTTGTTTGTCCATGGTGTCCTGTCTTGGCCACCTCCTCTTACTGAGCCCACATCTCCTAGGAAACTCCAAGCAGGGCTTGCGATGTAAAGCATGCAAAGTCAGCGTCCACCTCTGGTGCTCTGAGGAGATCTCCCACCAGCAATGTCCAGGCAAGACAGTGAGTGAGACTCGGCATGTGACAGAATGAGCGACTGAACCCCTCAAGGCTGGCTCCTCCCGTAGGGTGGCCTGGGCTTGGGCAGGGGCAATCTCTCCAGGGGTCACCACATCTCTGTGTTCTCTCTACGCCTCCTTTTGCCTCAGTCCACCTCTTTCCGACGCAACTTCAGCTCCCCTCTCCTGGTGCATGAGCCGCCACCAGCCTGTGCCGTGAACAGAGAGTCCCCACCTGCTGGTAAGCGCCCTACACCCCATGGCCCCACCTCAGAGGTCCTGTAAGAATCGCCACACGTTTCTCAGTTCCATGCCTGAACTGCACTGGTACTGCCTGGTGCTCCCTGCTTCTCTTCTCTGGATGCTGAAAGTAGGCTCAATTTATTCATTTGTTCATTCATCCCTCAACCACAATTTATCGATCATCTACTTAGTGTGAGGCCCTGTGCCAGACATTGAGAGACAGCACCGAAGAGGGTGGGATTGAGTTGGGTGTGGTGTTCCATGGCAGGCATTCTAGCATTCAGAAGGCAGAGGAAGGGAGATAAGCAGTTCAAAGCCATCATGGCTACCTATAGAGTCTAGGAAATCAGGCTGGGCTACATGAGACACTGCCTTATAAACCAAGTAATAATAATAAATTACTTTTAAGAGCACTGGCTGCTCTTCCAGAGGACCTGAGTTCAATTCCAAGCAACCACATGGTGGCTCACAGCCATCCGTAATGAGATCTGGCGCCCTTTTCTGGCATGCAGGCGTGCATGCAGGCAGAACACTATATATAATAAATAAATAAATAAATCTTAAAAGAAAAAAAAGTAAAGGCACTTGCCACCAAACCTCATGATGTGAGTTCTAGCCCCGGGACCCACCTGGTGGAGCTTCAGAGTGAGTCCAGGCTGGCAGCCAGGTGCCAGGCACTAAAGGTGGATGCTTAGCAGGGACCGTCGGGAAGGTGGACCCAGTTTATGAGACCCTGCGCTATGGTACTTCCCTGGCACTGATGAACCGTTCCAGCTTCAGCAGCACGTCTGAGTCCCCCACGCGGAGCCTGGTATGCCCGGCACAGAAGGGAGCCCTTGGGGAGGGTGTCTGAGTATGACTGTGGGCCCAGACGCTGATCCTCCTCCTGATCCTCCTCCTGATCCTCCTCCTGCGACCCCAGAGTGAACGTGATGAGCTAACGGAAGATGGAGAGGGCAGCATCCGCAGCTCAGAAGAGGGGCCTGGTGACAGTGGTGAGCCAGAGCGACATGGCCCCAGGGACTGGAAGAGGGTGGGTGGGAAGGTACTTCTTGAAGCTTCACACGCTGGTCTCACCTTGGTGTCCTCAGTATTCATAGCCCCAGCAGAAAGCGAAGGGTCTGGAGCAGAGGAGAAGAGCCCTGGACAGCAGGTGAGCCTGGTGCCCACAGGCCAGAGTGGGAAGCAGTGCCACTTCTTGTCACTGATCAGCATGTACATAGAGCACTCACTCGTCCTCCCTCGGGTGTCCTCCATCCCTGGGGAGAGGCAACAGTCAAGACGAGAGGCATGGGAGGTGGGAGGGGTCTCCAAAGTCTGTTGCTCCACTCCTGCTCTCCCAAGGGCAGGCAGTTCCCCAGTGCAGCAGACAAGGCTGTCCTCCCTCTGTATCAGCCCCATGCCTGCCCCATGATTAGCAAGACACATTAGTCCAGAGATTCACGGGGCCCTACCTCACAGTGTCCTCGTCCTACCCCAGGGCAGTAAGCAGACAGTGGGTAGACCAACGAGGTGACCCACCATCACTGACCCAGCCTTTTCCCACAGCCCCCAAAGCCATCCCTGCGGAAGGATGTGGGACCCATGTACTCCTATGTTGCACTCTACAAGTTCCTGCCACAAGAAAACAACGACCTGGCCCTGCAGTAAGTCCTTCCTGTGGTCTAGCCCCCTACTGGCCTTAGAATGTAGGATGGTGAAGACCTCCAGGAATTTTCTTCTTGCACATTTAAATATACTCTGTCCACAGAGAGCCTGGAGCTGCCCAGTTTGAGGGGTGTAGTCTCCTGTCTTCTGCCCCAATTCTGGGCCTTCTCAGGGAGCCTGCTGTATCTGTGATCTCAATGGCCTCAAAGGGCACTGAGAATCCTCTCCCGGCAGAGAGGGCTATCAGGGACCCGAGGTACCCGCATGCTGCCCCAGCTCTCTCTTTTCCAGGCCCGGAGATCGAATCATGCTGGTGGATGACTCTAATGAAGACTGGTGGAAGGTGACTGGCAGGGTGGGATCTGGGCAGACTCTCATAAGTACTGTTGGGCCTTCCCTTCAGGCCCCAAGGACCTCCCTTCCTCCCATGGCATGCCCAGCCAACCCTTGGCTCTTACTGTCTGTTCACCGTCCGTACATCAGTTCCCTCTGCCCACCTCATGGCCTTCCAAGGCCACCACCAGCTGGGGGCTGGAGTAACAAGAGCCCAAGGTCTGGAGGATGCTGGTACTGGCTCTGAGTAGGAACTAGGTCTAGAGAAGGGTGGGGGTGAGGCTGCTTCTTGGGCTCACTGCCAACCTCATCCCCAGGGCAAGATCGGCGACCGGATTGGCTTCTTCCCAGCCAATTTCGTGCAGCGGGTGAGGCCAGGCGAGAACGTTTGGCGCTGCTGTCAGCCCTTCTGTGGGAACAAGGAACAGGGCTACATGAGCCTCAAGGAGAACCAGGTGGGTTCCAGGGCCCTGCTGGGGTTGAAGCACGGGGGGGTGTGTACTGAGTGGGGGCGTCAAGTGCCTCGAGGAGGACCTGAAACCTGGTCCGGGTGAGGAAGCTGGTTAGAAGTAAAGCCCTGGGAGCTGGAGCTGGAGCTGGAGCTGAGGACCTGAAACCTGGTCCGGGTGAGGAAGCTGGTTAGAAGTAAAGCCCTGGGAGCTGGAGCTGAGCTGGTACAGGGCTTGCTCTGGGTTCCATGCCCAGCACATGAACTGAGTGTGATGGCATACTTCTGGAACCTGGCTAAGGCAGGAGGATCACCCTGGGTTTAAGCCTATGTAGCAAGTACCAAGGCTACATAGTGAGACCTCGTCTCAAAAGGACCAAAAGCAAACAAAGGGATAGGATAGTAAGATCCTCCCAGGGCGCTTGAGCTGACAAAAGGCTGCTTGATGTCAGAGGCAGTCAGAATAAAACATGAGCACTAAATTATGAATCTGGAGGCTTCGCTGTTTTCTGTTTGTTTGTTTTTAATTTATTTATGTGTATGGGTGTTTTGTCTGCATGTATTTCTGTGCACCATGTGCATGCCTGCTGCCCACAGAAGCCAAAAGAGGTTGTTGGATCCCATAAGACTGGAGTTACAGATGGTTGTGAGCCCATGTGGGTGGTGAGAATTAAAACCAAATCCTCTGGAAGAGTAACCAGTGCTCTTAACCACTGAGTCATCTCTCCAGCCCCTGCTTTTTGTTGTTGTTGTTTTGTTTTGTTTTTGGTTGGTTGGTTGGTTGGGTTTTTTTGGACAGTCCTGGCTGTCCTGGAACTTGATCTGTAGACCAGGCTAGTCTGGAACTCACAGAGTTTGGCCTGCCTCTGCTTCCTGAGTGCTGGGATTAAAAGTGTGTGGACTATGAACAGCTGCTTTTTGTTTTTATTAGATAGTATTTTGCTATGTAGCCCTAGCCCTAACTGGCCTGGAACTCACTATGTAGGCTAGGCTAGCCTTGAACTCACAGACATCTGCCTACCTCTGCCTCCCCAGTGCTAGGATTTAGGGCGCCCCTAACCAGGTTTAAACACTAACTGTGTCCTCTGGCTTTCTGCATAATCTTGCACAAGCCCTTTTCCCTCTGCCACCTCCTCTACGAGATGGGATTCGGAAGGGGCAATGGTTTAGCCGATCACCAGGCCTGCTGCTGACATCCTGCTTGCTATGCCCTAGGTCCTGGTCATGCTGCTGATCTCTCATAGGATCTGCTGCATCAGCTCCATCCACGCCAGACACGCCAACCCCACCCTTCTCTGGGGCGTGTCCTCTGGAGCTATCAGCAGTGCTCATTCCAGACCTCATCTCTCTATGTATCCACGCAGATCTGTGTCGGCGTGGGCAGAAGCAAGGATGTTGAAGGCTTCATCCGAGTCAGCAGTGGCAAGAAGCGGGGCTTGGTGCCAGCCGACTCCCTGGCAGAGATCTGACAGAAACCAAGAGAACCTAGATGCTACCCCTGCCCGTGCCTGGCCCTCGCTTCTGGCCTGAGAAGGAAGCCGGCATCCTGGCCAACCCTTCCTCTCCCTGTCTCTCCTAAGCATCACCCACCCCCACTTGGGAGCCTTCTGCACTGAGGAAGGTTTTCTGTCTTGGGTGGGGTATCCTGAATGGGGTGATCTTCTGGGACTTGGGGAAGGGAGTTAAAAGTGGGAAGACACGAGGAAGCCACAGGTAGCCCACCCAGTGCCCAGGTACCACCTAATCAAGTTGCCACAATGAGTCCCACCCTAGGAGTCTCCCGCGGTCTTCAGAGACTTTACCTGCCCACACTGCCCATGCATGCCTGACGCCTTTGCCCACAGCCTTTGCTTGGGTCTGTGTGTCCACCCCTTTGCAAATAGGGCCTTGTGAGAGGGCCTTTTGCTGTTCCTCAGCTCGCCACTCTGGACTGAGAGGGGACTGAGGACCGTGGTAGAGCCCTGAAGTCACCACCTGTCACTCCTTCAATTCTCAGGAAAGTTCAGGAATCTTTTCCATTACTTGAAACTCATTCCGACAGAGCAGGGGCAGTACTGAGGTCTGGAGGGGATGGGAAATGTAGGAAACTGGTCTGTTAAAGATGGTGGCACACGCCTTTAATCCCAGCACTCCGGAAGCAGAGGCAGGTGGATCTCTGTGAGTTCGAGGCCAGGCTGATCTACAGAGCAAGTTCCAGGACAGGCTCCAAAGCTGCACAGAGAAACCCTGTCTTGGAAACCCTCCCACCCCCAAAAAAAGGGATGGTCCCCACAGAGCCGCCTCATCCTACCTTTGTCTACTAGAAATTGGTGTCCAAGAGCAGCTTGGACACAGACCCAGCTGAGAACAAGACACTGACCCCTGTTTGGTCAAAACATTTCTCGGTTAGGATTCTAGAAATCCCCGTTACCAGAAGCAGCCAGTCAGGGTAGTCTGTGGTTATGAGTTCTGGTCTCTCTAAAAGCTCTGCCCTCAGATGGACCAAACTTACCCTTCTCACCAGGCTCTACAGGGCCCGTCTCTGGGAGGAATATCTTGAGAGACAGAGAAAGGATATGGAAAGTTCGTTTTGGCCACCAGGAAGGGGTCTAGGAACCCCTGGCCCTTGTGGGCAGGATGAAGGACCTCTCAAAGGCTGCTTTTTACCCCCTGGTACCAGCCCCCGCCCTCCAAGCTCAGAGCCTTCCTTTTGTGCCCTGATCACGTCAGCCAATGCCACGCCCATTTCTGGGCACAGTCATGCCCCCCATACAGTGAAGGGACACAGATTCTCCTGCCCAACACACCTTGCCCCACCTTCCCCACTAAGAGGGGACTAAAGCCACACTGCCCTTGTTTGCTGCCATGAGCCCCCCCCCCAGCAAAATCCCCGGGGCGGGCCCAACCCACTGTACATGAGGCTGCATGACGGGTCTGCGGGGGAATTGCTGAGCCCCCAGCCCAAAATTAAATGTTTGTTGTCTCGGTTTGACTGCTCTGTGTATCTGATTGGGATAGAAAAAGCGGGCAGCGAGATGGGGGCGGGGGAGGCGGAGCTAAGGATAGAAGGATAGAAGAGGTCATTGATCTCAGAGAGGACGGGTATCGGAGTGGGAACCGCAGAAAGATGCGGGAAGGACCAGAGGAAGGAAGGAAACAGACAGGCGGGGAGGTTGGGGCTGAGGTCACGTCTGGGTTCCGTGCGCACCACAGTCGCGCAGGGGGCGGATCCACAGTGCAGCTGTTGACGCAGCCCGCGTGCTTCGGCCTCGGAGGGTGCTGTAGCGCAGGGCATCAGCCTCTCCCTGCAGCCCGCAAGCCCAAGATTTAAACATGGTGGAGGGGACAGTGGCGGACGGACGCTGGGGGCTAGAGATGACTCAGCAGCGTCCGTCATCGGGAGCCCGGCGCGGGGAGAGGGGGCTCGCGCGCGCCCCTCTGCCGCCCACCTGCTCCAGCCTAGCGGCCGCCTTCCCGCGCCTGCCCGGCCACGTCACTCGCAGGGCTCGCGTGTCCTGGACTATTTATAGGCTCAGGGGGGAGCAAGCGAGCCCGAGGCTGCTGCGGGGGTGATAGGGCAGCGGCAGTGCTGACAGACCACAGAAGGTGGGAATCTGCTGAGTCTGGGTCCCGCCTCCACCTTCTAGGTAGGCGAGGTGGGACCAGACTGTGGCGTCTTCTCCCTGATCATCCTTTGGGCCCCTCCGTCCAGTGAAAGCCATAGAGATTGAGGGTGGGAGGGGAAGACGGGCAGCCCTCTCCTAGAATCCTGCACCCTGGAACTGCAAGGGAGTTTCACCCCCAAGTCTGAAGGCTTTCTTTTCTTTGAAACACGGTCTTGTTTTGAAACCAATAATCTCCCTGCTTCAGCCTCTGAAGTGCTGGGGTTGTAAATATGAGGCACCACGCCTGGCTCTGAAGGCTATAGAGAGAATTATGTAACTCAGGCAGGCCACCTCCTGAGATTACAAGTGTGCACCGCCATGCCTGCCTCGAGAGGAGTTCACATAATTAAACCCCGGGTGTGGCCCACACAGCACGCCGGGAACTTCACGCTATGGTCCTCTACCTGATCTAAACCATACTGAACCCTTTGACAGATGAGGACAATGTGGTGGAGATGGTAGTGGTCTACCGAAGGTCACACACTTTATACAGCATGAGCCCATCCCTTTCTCACTTAGGAAAACTAATGCCCAGAGAAGGCTAATTACTTGTCCCGATTATCAAGCAGTCAGTGGCCCAGACATCTTACTGTCCTGACCTCTGAACCTCAGTGCCTTAGGCCGCTAAGATGGAGGACAGCCTGAGATGCTCCAGAAATAGATGCTCCCACCTCACTGGAGACAAGTGGGAATGTTGAACTCAAGCCTTGTGTATACCCAGTGTCTGCCACCAGCCAGCAGCTGGCCTGGAGCCCCCCCTCACCCCCCAATCTGTTTGCCGCACTGCTGAACACAGCAGCTTTTTTCCGGTGGCTGAACCGCTGACAGCAGGCCTACAGCCTAGGGGCAGGGAACAGCTGGTGTCCCCACTGTGGCCTCTGCCCTCCTCTGTGCCTGTTCTTGGGGAATCTGGCTGGACCAGCATCATTACTGGCCTGGGGATCCCCAGAAATCTGCTGCCAGTACCATCTCTGACCTACACACACCCTTCTTCCTGAGCTAACCTGGTACACCCCGCCAGGGCTCAAGGGAGATGCAGAAAGAAAAATCTAGGAGCCAGAGATGGGGAGGCCTAGAGGGACAAGGGAGTAAATGCTGGAGATGGGGAGGACTCATGAAGACAGTGAGGTTTTCTGTGTAATTCCCACCGCAATGCTAGCCCATTCCCCTCTCTTCAGCCTTCCTCATGCCCCAGTCTCCAAGGGGCCTACGTAGACTTAGTCTGCTGAGACACACAAGGAAGGCAGCCACACACACGTAGACTTAGTCTGCTGAGACACACAAGGAAGGCAGCCACACACACGTAGACTTAGTCTCTTGTGCTTTATAGGAGATGGCCTAGCTTGCCCCTCTGTCAGCTTCACCAGTGCCACCAGGGAGGAGGCCAAAGCCAGCCCCACCTCCTCAGCCCTTTTCCAGCTCCCAGCCTACATCAGTGGCTCTGCTCTGTGTCTATGCACATGGTAGTTCACTGCATCATACTAACAACTGGGAGCCCAGCGCCAGATTTGCATGGAACTAGTAACTAGGCAATGCTGAGGTTCTGGGAAGTCACTGGACCTCGGTTTCCTTATCTAGAGAATAAGTCGGGTAGCCAGGCAATGATGGTTCATGATTTTAATCCCAGCACTCAGGAGGCAGAGGCAGGCAGATCTCTTAGTTTGGGGCCAGCCTGGTCTACAAAGTGAGTTCCAGGACAGCCAGAACTGTAACACAGAGAAACCCTGTCTTGAAAAATCAATCAATAAATAAATATAAAAATAAAATAAGGCTTCCAGCAGCATCAGGTAAACAGGCCGGCTTCCCGGCCTGTGCTCCAGTGCCTGCAGATCGCCTGGGACCTGCACAGAGCTCCCAATCCCAGCGGGAGCCAAGCACCCCAGACTCCGGATCTTCGCTCACACCAACGAGACCAGGAAAGGAGAGGAGGCTGGGAGTCCAGGGAAGCGGCGGTTCTTCCAGCAGCATCAGGTAAACAGGCCGGCTTCCCGGCCTGTGCTCCAGTGCCTGCAGATCTCCTGGGACCTGCACAGAGCTCCCAATCCTGGCGGGAGCCAAGCACCCAGACCCCAGGTCTTCTCTCCCACCAACGAGACCAGGAAACCAGAGGACCCAGGGAGACCAGGGGAGTAGCTGTTCTGGATCAAGTACAACAGGACCCAGCATAGGGTCCAGGGGACCAGGTAAGAGGATAAGCGCCCCAGATTCCTGTTCTTCTCCACCCACGGGACCAGCATTCGGACAAGGAATAGAAGAACCACCAGATTATTGGACTTGCTAGCACCCACCAAAAGGGAACTCTGGTCCCCAGACCAGTAAGGAGCTCTTTCTGCACCCACTAGAAGAAGAGATGGGAAAGAGACAATACAAAAACACAGTCAGCAACAGAAAAACAAATATGACACCGCCAGATTCTAGAGACTCCACACCAGCAAGACCCCAACATTCCAATGCGGACGAAGCAGAAGAGAACGACCTTAAAAGCACTTTCATGAAAATGATAGAGGCCCTAAAAGAGGATATTGGAAAATCCCTCAAAGAAATGGAAGAAAAAACAAACCAAAAAATGCAAGAATTGGAAGAAAAAACAAACCAAAAAAGGCAGAAAATGGAAGAAGAGATGAAGCAAAAAATGCAAGAAATGGAAGAAAAAACAAAGCAAAAAATGCAAGAATTGGAAGAAGAATCATACCAAAAAAGGCAGGAAATGGAAGAAGAAACAAAGCAAAAAATGCAAGAAATGGTAGAAAAAACAAAGCAAAAAATGAAAAAAATGGAAGAAGAAACAAACCAAAAGAGGCAGGAAATGGAAGAAGAAACAAAGCACAAAATGCGAGAAATGGAACAAAAAACAAACCAAAAAATGCAAGAAATGGAAGAAAGAACAAACCAAAAAATTCATAAAAGGCAACAAACGGACGAACAGATAAACAGAAAATTGCAAGAAGCAATGCAAACACTGCAAGGGTTGAAAACTGAAATAGAGTCATTAAAAAAAACACAATCTGAAGAAAGGCAGAAAATAGAAAAGCTGGACAAACAGACAGGCACTACCAATACAAGCATTACCAACAGAATAGAAGAGATGGAAGAGAGAATCTCAAGTGTTGAAGATACGCTAGGAGAAATGGATTTATCAACCAAAGAAAACCTTAAATCCAACAAATCCTTAACACAAAACATCCAGGAAATATGGGACACCATGAAAAGACCAAACCTAAGAATAATAGGTATAGAAGAAGGAGAAGAAATCCAGCTCAAAGGGGCAGAAGGCATATTCAACAAAATCATAGAAGAAAACTTTCCCAACCTTAAGAAAGACATGCCAATGAAGGTACAAGAAGCCTACAGAACACCAAATAGAGTGGACTACAAAAAAATCCCCTCGCCACATAATAATCAAGACCCCAAACATACAGAATAAAGAAAGAATATTAAGAGCAGCTAAGGAAAAAGGTCAAGTAACATATAAAGGCAGACCTATCAGAATTACACCTGATTTCTCCATGGAAACGCTGAAAGCCAGAAGGTCCTGGATAGATATTCTACCTACACTAAGAGACTACGGATGCCAGCCCAGACTACTATACCCGGCAAAGCTCTCAATCACTATAGACGGAGAAAACAAGATATTCCATGACAAAACTAGATTCAAGCAATATGTGTCCACTAACCCAGCCCTACAGAAAATTTTGGAAGGAAAACTCCAACCCAAGGAAGCTAACTACAACCAGAAAAACATAAGCATTAGAGAATCTCTCTCTACCAACAGCCAAAAGAACAAAGGGGTGAAACTCCACACATAATTCCACCAACAACAACCATCGCAAATCGAAGAAGGATGAGCAATCATTGGTCATTAATATCCCTCAATATTAATGGCCTTAACTCACCCATAAAAAGACACAGACTAGCAGATTGGATTCGAAGACAGAACCCTTCCTTCTGCTGCATACAGGAAACACACCTCACCCTTAAAGACAGACATTACCTGAGAATTAAAGGTTGGGAAAAAATTTTTCAATCGAATGGACCCAAGAAACAAGCCGGGTAGCAATCCTAATATCTAACAAACTAGACTTTAAAATAAAATCAATCAAAAGAGATGAAGGAGGTCATTACATACTCATCACAGGTGAAACCCACCAAGATGAAGTGTCTATCCTGAACATCTATGCCCCAAATACAAAGGCATCCACATTCGTTAAAGAAACATTATTAGAACTTAAATCTCATCTAAAGCCCCACACAGTTATAGTGGGAGATTTCAACACACCACTCTCACCACTAGACAGGAATACCAAACAGAAACTCAACAAAGA